ACCCCCCTCCATCAGACCTGACCCCCCTCCATCAGACCTGACCCCCTCCATCAGACCTGACCCCGTCCTTCAGACCGGCTCGGATCTGGTCCAGACTGTTACATGTGGACTTGTTTTGTAAAGGGTTTCCGGACTCGGTCCAATCAGAACAGCAGGTTCGGGTCACGTGACTCAACTTTTACATAACGTCTTTTTTTTTTCTGCTCTGGCTCGTCTCGGTCCTGTGAAACTGACACCGGACTTTGTTGGACCGGACCAGGAGCAGACACAGCATCATCACACAGAGCCTGCATGTCAGCAGCGGATCTGCTGGGTCCGTGTCCTCACAGATGAGGGCTCAGACCCTGGGGTCCGGGACCATGCTGCACGTCGCAGCCGAAGCGTTCCGGGCCAAGAAGTTCGAGCTGGCCGCGGAGATCTACGAGTGTCAGCTGGCGGGGCTGGGAGACCCGGGAGCCCGGCTGGAGCTCATGGTCCGGCGGGCAGACGCGCTCGCCTACGGGGGCAAACTCCCGGAAGCCCTGGCGGTGTACCGCCAAGCCTCGGAGACGGAGCGGCTGCAGCCCCGGCACCTGGACAAGCTCATAGACTACCTGTCCACCCGGGTCCGGACCCCGCGGGGCCGCGGCGGGGGCAGGGCGCTGCGCTCCGGTTTCGGGGACTTGTCGTGCGGCTTGTGTCTGAGCTTCCTGCTGGAGCCCGTCACCCTGCCGTGCGGACACAGCTTCTGTAGGAGGTGCCTGGACCGGGACCGGGACCGGGGACAGCCCGTCCTCTGCAGGGACTGCGGGGACAGCTGCAAGGGGGTCCAGAGCTTCAGGGTCAACGTGGTCCTCGGTCACCTGCTGGCCAAGTGGTTCCCGACCTGGTACCGGGCCAGCCGGCTGAGGCGGGAGGGCAACGGGCTGTACGCGGAGAGGAGGCTGGAGGCAGCGCTGGAGACCTACAACCAGGCCATCCTGATCGGTACGAGTCCAGAACTTCAGGTTCTGTTTCTGGTTCACTTTGAACTGGTTCTGTAACACTTTTAAACTGGTTCTGCAACACTTTAAACTGGGTCTGTTTCCAGTGTGCGGTTATCAAACCGGTTCGGGGAGTAAAGTGTGTCAATTGGGTAACACGGTCATGTGGGCGGGGCCAGTGGGCCAAACATTACGTCAGCACTGACCCCGCCTCTTTTCTTGTGTAACTGAAACAATGAGGCAGGATGTGGGTCAAGGGTACACCTGAGGTCAGGAACCGGCTGACCACAGTTGTGAAATAACTGAGTACAAATACTTGGTTATCTGTACTTTACTTGAGTAATTATTTTTCAGCGTACTTTTTACTTTTACTCATTACATTTTTACACAATTATCTGTACTTTCTACTCACTACATTTTTTAAAAAGTTAAGAAGTAGAAAGTTGTTACTCCTGTTTTATTCTGAGTTTTTATTACCATTCTGACACACTATTAGCTTGTACACAACCCATCACAGCTGCACGATGTTAGAAAATATAGTTTTTGGAGAAGTC